AGAGATGAATTGAATCAATGAATCTCTATGAGGAAAGTTCAGTGTCTGCATGCAGAGGGAGGAGACACTGAATGTTTGGATGCATTTTAGGCAGCCATGACCCAGGAAGGATCTCTAACAGCCATCTGAGGAGTGGCCAGTGAAGTTATCACTAGGCTGTAATGTAAACACTGCATTTTCTCTGAAAAGACAGTGTTTACAGCAAAAAGCCTGAAGGTAATGATTCCACTGACCAGAACAAATTCAATAAGCTGTAGTCAAGGAAATGATTTGGAAAGCTGAGTTTGTAAAAACGTTTTCCCTCCTCCCCCTAGAGGAATATTTAGACTTGAAAGAAGAGGACACGAAGGAGTAGGAAGAAACAGACGTAAGCATAGAAACATTCCTAAAACTTTAGGAAATTGGCTTAGGGCTTTCAGTATCCTGCCTAGTGTGTTAGCTGACAAATCACCAGATAAGTGCTCCCAATTGTTCTGTTATCAGGATGGTGTCTGGAATGCTTATCCCATGTATGTGGGGCTTGCGTGGTGGAGATACAACGAGCAGATCCGTTAACGTCTGTCGGTCAATCCAGGTATGCGTTGGAATCAAATGGTCCTGACACATTCTGGATGAAATTGATGATGGCGCAAAAAGAAGTGCCATTTCAATCTGGAGCTGGCGCCGGTTACTCTTCCACCTCATCGGCTATGCATAGGAGGGGATATTGCTGACTCTTCAAAGAGGGGCAGTGTAAGTGAGGTGCAGCATGCCGATTTAAGCATGAATGTTCAGGGTGTGGCGGTGGACACGGTTTCAGTCAATGCTTCAAGTGAGAAAGTATGCGCCTGCCGGGTCACCGGAGGTGCCACAACATCATCCTCTGCCACTGAGAGTTGCCGCAATGCTCTCATGGTTAAACAAGTACGGTAACCGTGATGATGCGATACTTCTTTGGGACGGTTTCACTTGAGGCTTCATGATTCCGTTTCAGAATAGGGTGGAGGTTCGTCGTTTACATAATCTACGTTCGCTTAGTGACTTTCCTGAAGTCGTGCGTGACAAATTGTTTAAAGAAACACAGTTGGGACGGATGGCGGGACCTTTTGTGGAACCGCCGATTCAGGATTTACGAGTTTCACTCTTGGGTGTTGTGCAGGAAGGAAGCAGGTAGGTTCACTACCTTCCTTACCCTAAAGGGTCATCAGTGAATGATGATATCAATGGGGCACTCTGTTCCATTTCCAGGTGCACTGTTGGCAAAAGCGGACGTGGAGTCGACATTCCGCCTGCTGCCCATTCATCCCGCATGTCACCATTTATTAGGTTGCTTCTTCGAAGGTAATACTACATTGATCTCTGTCTGCCCATGGGTTGCTCCATCTCATGTGCGTATTTTGAAAAATTTAGCACCTTGCTAAAATGGATTGTTAAGATATAGGCGGGCACTAAGTTTGTGGTTCATTACTTGGACGACTTTTTATGCATCAGTCCTTCTAATTCCAGTGCTTGCAGGATCGGTTTAAGAACACTGGAATGGGTGGCTAAGGTTTGCGGGGTGCCACTGGCAGTGGACAAAACCGTATGGTCATCAACATGTTTGAGCTTCTTGGGTTGCTCTTAGGGAATGCGTTGCAGAAGTGCGGGGATCTAAGAAAGTGACATTACGCATGCTGCAGTCATTAATTTGGAGCTCGAATTTCACGTGCCAGGTGATCCCGGTGGGGAGGGTGTTCAATAGATTCTTGGCTAAAGCCACCAGTGGGGTACGGTCGCCACACCATTTCAACAGAGTGTCAGGACCCATGAAGGAGGACTTGGGAATTTGTGAACGTTTCTTGCGTGAGTTTAATGGCCGTGTTTTCTTTCGGGAGAAATTAGTCTTGTCGCCTGACTTAGAACTGTTCACGGATGCTTTAGATAGTGTTGGTTTTGGCATAAAAAAACAGAGATAAGGGCAGCGCCAAAAAGACCTTTTAACATATAATAATCAAAATATGAGGGTAATCCGAATAAAAGAGTCTTAACTGAACTGATCTTCCTTAGATCATATAGTCTATAAAGTGCTTGGTCAGGAACAATGCCTCACTGTCCTTGCCCGGGCAGATCCACTCATATTAAAAGATAAAACAAATAGAAAACCAAATAGTGTAATATGTCCAGTCTAATATAACAAATGATAAAAAGATGGTAATAAACTCACATATATTAAAGCTATAGCTAGCTCTAGTGTGAAGAGCGTACAGCGGTACAATCCCCGCTTATGATGCGCTTTCTTGTTTACACTGGGCGAGATTCCGAGCGGAGGCTCCAGAAGCACAGGCAGAAGGTTTGTCTTGCCCGGCCAAGCTGTGGCAGCTCGGAACTTCATACTTGGAAGACTAATCAGAGAGTCATTGGCACCAAGCATATGGGCAGCATACAGTAAGGTATGGGACTCATGGGATGCAGCGTGGGGCTCTATTGAAGAGATTCACTCTGCGGAGGTACGTCTAGATGTTTTGTTATGGTATGTGTGTCCGTTTGTTCGCGTTGGGCGCCTCCCCGTCGGTTGTTGACCGTAATCTACCCGCGTTGGCGTTTCTCTTCAAATTAAACGGTTAGGAAGACTTGACAAAGCACTTTCTGCTCCGTCGGGCTCTCAAAGGTTTCCTTAAAGGGATGAAAGCTCCTGATACCAGGAGATCGGTCTCCTTTGACCTGCTCCTCCGGCAGGTTGGGGCATTGCAAGATCTTTGTTTTTTGCAATATGAAGTGCTGTTGTTTACAGTGGCATTTGTTTGGGCATTCTTTGGAGCTTTTCGTATTAGTGAATTGGTGAGTAGGAACTGGGTGCAGGCGAGGGGCATTCTAGTTTCGGATGTGGAAGTTTAAGAAGATAGGGTTGGTATTTATCTACGCCATTCTAAAACTGATGTGTTCGGTAAGGGCTGCTTGTTTAAATTAACTTGGTTACCCAACTCATGGGCATGTCCAGTAGATTGCGCTTCCCGGTATCTGGCTGTTCGTTTGTGCGCGAGAGGTTATTTTTTCATCCATAAAGATGGATCATCTCTGTCCAAATATTAGTTTACCTGTGTTCTTCACTTATGCTTGGGGCAACTGGGTCTGGAATCGTCACATTTTGGTACGCATTCATTTCGGATTGGGGCAGCAACGGAAGCGGCACGGTTGGGTTTCACTGATGAGCTGGTTAAAAAGATTGGCCGATGGGAATCAGTGAGGTTTAGGTCTTATGTCAGACCTGATTGGTTGGTTTAAGTCTAGGGGTGGAGGGGTGAGTGAAAGTGCTTACTATGTGTGGTTCTATATATTTCTCTTCTATTTTAAGTCGGGTCACCTGGATAGTAGGCCATTCCTTTGTCTACTGGGCGGAACAGAGAGCCGCGGTTCGACCTAGGGGCACACAGTTGGGCTTTCCTCATGATTCACTTACATTACATTGGTTTGTTTTTCGCGATTTCTGTTACAGTAACATATGCTCTGAATTATTTAGAAAAATAGGGCAGGGCATAGTCCCGGATTGTATTTTAATCCATGCCAGGGGTAATGATTTGGGCCTTGTACCACAAAGGAAATTGATTCGGTCCATGAAGAGAGACGTGGATAGGGTGAGAAGTTTGGTTCCCGGTGTAATTATTATTTGGTCTGAGATGGTGCCGCGTATGCATTGGTGTTTCGCTAGAATCCCTGCGGCGATTGCTACAAGTCACATTAAGGTCAATGAAGAGATTAGGGGGTGTTATAATTAGGCACAAAGAATTGGAAGCTATGCCACCTGGCTATTTCCGGTAGGATAGAGTACATCTTTCTGATTTGGGTATGGACTTCTTGAACTTGGCTTTTCAGGATGGATTGAGACAGGCTCTTGATAGGTGTGTGTGGGGTGGGGGGGCGCTCAGGTAGCTTGAAGTGGTCAAACTCTGTGCTGTGGCAGGGATAATTGGGGGTAGGTTGGCTTGGTTAGTGGTGTGAAGTTCTAGTTCAGGAAACATGGTTTATGTTTGCATTGATTTGGTAGGTTCGAGCTCGTCGTTAGCTCTGACCCAGGGTGTGTAGCGGTATCTCGGTATACCTCTACAAGTGGTCAAGGATGCCCCTGGTGGCTGAGTAACTGTTTGTGTCTTATGATAAATGCCATTTAAAATTTTCCATTTTTATATAGGGGTAGTGGTCTGTAAATGTTTTACATCGGAAAATTGTTGGGCTTCAATGTCTTTAAGTGTGTTCGACTCTGACCCCTTTTATACAATTTTATGTTTAAACAATTATCATTAATAAATAGCTGTGATATTTTCTCAAGTAATATCGGTGTCCGTGTTTCATTGGGGGGTGATCTTATGGTGGATTTATTAGGAACATGCCTAAGTGACGACTATGCGCATGTCAATCTATTCTTTATTTTTTGGTTATTTCTTAAGATACAATTATCCCTGGCACATTGGATTAGCTTATTAACCCTATATATGTGCGGACTTTTATAATATAATTGAATGGAACCCACCCTTTTCCTTCCCCTCCCCCCTGTTTTTTTATTTTAGAATCGTACATCTATCACTATGCCAGAGTGAACCTTTAAACGGGTAGTTTTTCGAAATTATACTAATTTACTGGAAATAGAGGATATGTTTTTAACCCCACGGCTTACTGGGAAGGTTCTTTATATATATTCTTGTTTTGGATAATTGTAATTGTTACAATAAAACTTATGTTTTATATCTTAATATTGCGGTGTTTCACCATATCTAAATTGTTTGATCACTACTTTATAGGGCTAAAACCCCTAAACCTTATGGTGAGACACCAGGTAACAGAGGTGAACAAGAATTTTGTTGACCACCAGGTAACAGAGGTGAACAAGAAATATCTTTCATCTATTTTTGTTAAGTAAATCAAGGAGAACTAGCCAAAATCTATATGGATCATCCACTTTTTTTTTTTAAATTTGACAATTTTTATTGAGTCGTAAGATTGGCCGTTGGGTACAGAAAAAAAAAGGGTGTTTACAATAAAATTAATAGGTATGCATCAGTAAAATACAAGGATATTCATCAATGAGCAGAATGATACACATAGAGGTTTGGTACATGTAGCCAAACATGAAAATAGTGTAAGGTTTCGCATCGAATAACTCGATGTGAGGTGTGACAGTTTCAGGGGGAAGACATAAGCATCCGGTACTTCAACATGTCATAGTACAATGTCTCACAATTTGGGCTTGTCAGCTTGTTGTTGTTGAGACGATGACAGTGAACTTGCAAGCCTAATTTGCCCCAGGTAGAGTTTTGTATTTCAATGGTGATCACCCCATTATAATACAAAATGTAGAGGTATCAAATTTATTAGTCACCTATGCTCCCTCTTTGCTCCCTCCCTCCAATAGTGTTGGTCTCAACACAGTTGTCTTTTCTGGTTCCCCAATGACTGTAATTTCTAGAAATAAAATAGAATAAAGGAAAAGGTAAGTAAGGAAAGACAAACTGTACATTGTGGGTGCTTGTCACTGGTATCTCATATGAATGGAACTATCACATGGGGCTGTGCTCCCATGTGTGGCAGCCTCAGAACATATGGTGCATCGTTTGTTTGTCAATGTCATTTCAAGTATTGGTTTGTATTATTGGTTTGTTGTATCAAGAAAATCAGGCGTTATCCGTAATACCACGACCTCTATCCCCCCCTCTTCATCATGCCTTTAACCCCTCACCCTCCACGTCTACATTGTAAACTAACATAGTCTACAAACTTTATTTTTTTCCCGTTCCATCTATTCTCTCTGCTTCCTCCTTCAGCGGGACTATTCATGGAGCATGTGGCGGAACCAACCTTTCCACTGTGCACTGGAGAAGCCTGGTTGCTCGCCTGCTCCCTTTAGATTATGGCCCTGCAGTTCAGAGCTGTTATTCTCCCTGCTGAAAGGTTTATTCGTGCCTTTCTGCCAGGGTGTTCGGTAGATTCCATCTACCGAACAAACTACCGAACGATGGACCACCTGGGAGCTGGAGTGTGCCATCAATTGACCGCCCAGAAGCTGCGGTTAACCGCAGCTTAATTGATGAACGCTGGGTGGCCTTTGTTCGTCTGCCGAACTCGTGGCAGCGGCCATTTTACCTCCCGAACGGCCAGCGCCCAAACTATGGAACTGAAAACGGATACTTATTGGCGCGAACACCACTGAGTCGCCAGCCTCCTTACCTTCCCATTCGGTAAGCAGAACCGAATGACTGTCCATTCGGTAGTTTCGCCGGATGAACAGCATCCCCCAGATAGCTAAGCCATGGAGCCTATTCGTGTAACGAAAGACTATGGGAAAGACTTTGGCTCCATGGCGATTGAACTGTATGTATGTGATCTGAGCGCCATTCGGTAGTAATGTGTGCTCAGATCTAAGCTATCTGGGGATATGTAGAATGTATATGTTTTAGGTAATAAATGTGGCTGTATGTAATTTTATGTCTTTTACTGTATTGTTATTGCCATGTGGTTAATGGAGTTTTGCCTCTGTCCTGGGAGATAAGTGGATTACTTCCCAATTATCTCCAGGACAGAGAGGAGGGATTGTGATGTAATTGTGGGAGTGTTTAAAGGTGTATGTCTGTGATTGGCTAAGAGCCAATATGTTTCCCAGTTTCCCATTTGGTCCCCTAGGGGAGTGTCCACCAGGTGGGAGACCTGCATAAAAGCTGGGCAGTTAGCCCCAGTAAACCAGTTCCTGCTTAACTCTCAAAGTGAAGTGTCGTCTCATTATTGGGGGAGGATTTATTGTATGCTGTTCCAGTTTGACTGCTAAGAGTGTAAACCTATTCGCATGGTTTTTCCTATTTGGCTGTATACAACATTCATATGCTTGAGAGCATTCATATGCTCCTATGGTTCAGTGGTTTTGGTGTCTGCTGCAGTGCTTGGAGTCCTCAGGAAGTGCTAGGAGCATCCTTCAACGGAGGGATCCAGTTGGGGTTCCCGTCGATCCGTTACAGAGCATGTCTAATATCAGTATCCGAGTGGTCAGATGTGGTATCATCCACTTAAAATGAACTCTCCAAGCACCAAAACAACTTCTAAATTAAGTTGTTATGGTGCCAGGAGGCCCTCGGTCTCACTCTTATCTCAATTTCGAATGGTTTAACCCCTAAGTTGCCTCCAGTGCTAGTCTCAGCTTCCCCTGGAGGCGTCCGGCTTCTTAAATTTCACTTACAAGAAGCGTGGAGGGGCGCCGCTGCTTGGTTGAGAGCAGTCCGATGACGCTCTCAGAGAAGCAGTGACTCTCCATTCACCAAACTGACTTATCTTTTTCAAGACCGTTTTGTGAATGTGGAGTCACTGCTTGACAGTGTCAAAGAGTGTCAGTTGATGGGTCTCAGCCAGTCAACGGCGCCTCTCCGCACTTCCCGTAAGTGAAATTGCAGAAGAAGTATGCCACCAGGCAGGAGGTGAGACCAGTTCTGGAGGTAGCTTTGGGGGATAAACTGTTCGAAAACTGTTTAAAACCCTTGAAAGTATGAATGTGCCGGGGACCTCATGGCACCATAACTTAATTTACATGAGGTTGTTATGGTGGCTTTTGCTAGTTAGACTGTCCCTTTAACATAAAACCTGTTACCTTGTTAATGTTGACCTTATAAAAACAAAACTATATAAATACAGAAAAAATAAAAACAGAACAAGTGAACGTAGGCCAATATTTACAAAGCAGTGGCATGTGATTTGCAGCAACGGATATATCTAATCAGCTGCGTGTTGTTTTCCAAAAAACGACAATGAACTGGGCTTATGATCAAATTAGATTTTGACACTATAGTCACCTGAACAACTTCAGCTTAATGGGGTTGTTCAGATGAGTATAATAGCTCCCTGCAGGCTTTTCCATGTAAACACTATATTTTCAGAGAAAATTCACTTTTTACATTAGAACCTAGGAACACCTCCAGTGGCAGTCACTCAGACGGCCACCAGAGAGACTTCCGAGTCAAGTCCTGCCTGATGCGCAGGACTCACGTTTGACGTTTTCATGCTTAGTTGAAGACATCAAACGTGCTATCAGTACACAGGAGGCATTGTGAACGCACCTACTGTGTCCTGCAGTAATCCGGAGCCTGTCAGCAGTCAGAGCTGACAGTGTGGGAGATAAAGATCTCCTGCACACACAGCGTCGGCTTGGGCTGACCAGCAGAAGACTGGACACCGGAGACACAGCCGGAGCAGGACCGTAACCGTAAGTGCATTTATTTTAAAAATGAGTGAGAGTGACTGAGTGAGTGTGAGAGAGTGAAAGTGAGTGTGTGAAAGTGAGATTGAGAGTGAGTTATTGAGTGAGAGTGTGATAGTGAGAGAGTAACCGTGAGAGAGAGTAAGTGTGTGAGTGAGAGTGAGTAAACATGAGTGAGTGAGTGTGAGAGAGAGTAAGTAAAAGTAAGTGGGAGTGAGAATGAATAAAAGTGAAAGTGAGAGAGTGAGTGAGTAAAAGTGAGGTGTAAGAGAGAGTAAAAGTGAGAGAGTGAGTGAGTAAAAGTGAAAGGGAGTGAGTGACAATGATTGTGAGTGAGTATAAGTGAGTGTGAGTCAGATAATCAGATAGACAGATAGAAATAGAGAGATGGAAATCGATAGATAGAAGTAGATAAAGTGTGTGTGTTTACAATATTTATTTACAGTTTGTGTGTTTTTATACAAACTTTGAGCTGGAGGGTTGCGGTAGGAGGGGTCGGGCATAGAGCTGTCAGCCAGCTTAGCTTGCAAACGCGCATGCCGTGCACATGCGCGGTAGAGGACTCAGTTCATTCATAGAGCAGCACTCAATGCCGCTCTATGAAGAACCTGATTTGTGCAGCGCGAGGCCGTGCCTGCACACCAGGCAGCTATGACACTTCTCTAAGAGAAGCGTCTGATTGGGCCCTGCTATTTTGTCATTTTGACGAAAAAGGTGGCGTGGCTTGTCGAGGATCTCGGCGCTGGAACGTAGGTAAGTTTTAATGATAAAAAGCACTCAGATTTATTTTTTTGTTTTATGACAAACTAATATAAAAGCAAGATAGAAGGCTAGGGGACCTGTCTTTCTTGCTTTTCTAGTTTGACCATAGTGATCCTTTAAATAATTTTAATGACCTGGAGTCAATGGAACTCTTAGTTACAAACAACTAAACTACAATTCCACAGAAGTATGAGTAATTTAGCTCAGGCAGAAACAGGAAGCAGGTTCTAGTAGGCCCACAGAAGGTCTGTCAGCAATCAGACATATCATTTACTAAATATGACTGAGGTTGTGTGTGTACCTCCCTAGACTGTCATTACCTGTATAGACCACAGGGGTCACTGAAAAGGCAACTTCTAACATGCAAGAGGAGTCATTTTCCTGGTTTATTCATTTATTACCGGTATTTATAAAGCGCCAACATATTCTGCAGCGCTGTACAATTAGGGGAGAAGGTACAATATACACAGACAAATACAAAAGGTAGAGAGGGCCCTGCCCGTCAGCTGAGATCTAGCTATTGAAGCTCTTTTATACAGCTAGATAGCCCGTGAGCTTACAATCTAAAGGTTACATCATTACCAATACTTGAACTATATTGTTAAATTTTAAAAAAATCTTAAAAGATGTGCAAAGGTAATTGATACTGCAAACTTTTAGGTCAGTAAGGTCCCTTTCGCCAGGCATTAATTAAGAAATAACGTTGAAATAATATAGAATATTAGATTGTGAGCTCACTGGGCAAGGCCCTCTTAACCTACTGCCATAAATGGGTTTTTTTCTAAGAATTGTTTGCCCCATTTACCTATTGTACAGTGCTGTGCAATGTTTTGGCATTATATAAATATTAGAATATTTCATGATTTACTCACTCGCCGGCTGACGAGGATCGGAAGCAGAGCCTGAACAGGCAACTGACAGAAGGTGATTTTAACCACTTCTGCAATACAAGGGGGGCACTATAGGGAGCTATAGTGCCAGGAAAACAACTTTGTTTTTATGGCACTATAGTTTCCCTTTAACACAAAAAAGGTTTAGTCACAGACAGATAAATGTATTATTAAAGGAATGGAAATAGGAATAGATTTATTTGCTGGGGCAGATGAACACTATCCGTGCATACATTATGCCAAAATGGATGAAGTTAAATTCAGATGGTGCCTTTTAAGGTTCCAGATCCATTATTAAAAATGGCCCAAAACAGTATGCAGGTGATACTCGAAAAATTTTAATATCGTTCAAAAGTTCATTTATTTCAGTAACGCAACGTAAAACGGGAAACTAATATATGAGATAGACGCATTACATGCAAAGCAAGATAGTTCAAGCCGTGATTTGTCATAAGTGCGATGATTATGGCTTACAGCTCATGAAAACCCCAAATCCACAATCTCAGTAAATTAGAATATTACATGCAATCAATAAAACAAAGAGTGTACATAGAACAATATCGGACCTCTAAAAAGTACAAGCATGCATATGGACTCAGTACTTGGTTTGGGCCCCTTTTGCATCAATTACTGCCTCAATGCGGCGTGGTATGGAAGTCTGGTATGGAAGCCTGTGGCACTGATGAGGTGTTATGGAAGACCAGGATGCTTCAATAGCGGCCCGATTTACTTAAGGGGGGCAAAGACCCTACATGTGTTTTTAACACTACAGGGTCAGGAATCCATGCCTGTATTCCTGATCCTATGGTGTTCCTTTTTCATTGTTTTGTCACTCAAAATACTACTCCAATTTGGGTTCAGATTGAGAATCGACTCATGTTTCAGTTGTCTATGGAAGAAAAATACCAAAATTGAATGTTAACTCTTCTAAAATACCAAATTGGATTACAACTATAGAAAAATGGTAATCTGGACCTTGCTCATCAGTCGTAAAGAGTAAAATAATTTGTTTTCATAATTCCTTATAAGTATGTGAAATTGATTTTGTGACTTCTGTCTGATATAAATGGTCTATTGAGCTTGTAGCGGAGTAGTAGGGGTTAATCCACGATATCTCCGCTGGCAGTCAGGATGAGCAGGTAAAACACAGGTAGCGTAGTAATAGTCCCTTCCTCCCAAGAACTAGACGATACATAGCTTGGAGGTCAACTGAAGTTTTTAATTACAGGTCACCGTATTTATGTGGTTACAAATGTAAGGGGTTTCCAAAGTCACATTCCAGGGGTTTTACAACAGTGGACTACATGGGAGACTGATTTTACAAGCGGGTTTCCCATCATACACTGCTGTACCAGAGAGATAATTGCCGCAGAATGCACTGGGAATAGGCTTATCTCCTGGTACAGAAAATACAGTTTTTTACATTAAAATGTATAACTTTGGCAATTCCCCTCATATTCCACGAATGACCCTTCATTCAATTGCAGGGATCAACCGGTACAATATACCGAAGTACCGCTCTGATCCCTGCAGAAACAACCGAATGCCGCTTACAATGTACATTTATACGAACGGGGGCTTAACAGAGAAAACTCACGAATGGGTTTAATTTCCAGAAGGTGAGAGATTACCGAATGCTATGGAAGTTCAGCGGTGTTTGAAAATCAAGTGACCGATTTCAGTTCCAGGCACTCAACGACCAAACACCGCTGAAATCTAACAAAGCAAAGATGGCTGCCGCCACGTGTTCGGTATGCGAACGGCGGCCACACACAGAACACTGATTAAGGATGAATACACTGTTTCGGTTTACTAATGAGCGGCACACGACCTTCTGGGGTGGTCTCTTATTCTGTATTTTGTTCGTTTCACGAACAGGGTTCGTGAAGCTTGAAACTTCGGGCTAGTGGCATTCATACGCTTGAAACACACGAATACATAGGAACCTTAGGTGAAACCTGGTTATGCAAATACAGTTAACAGGGGTTAAGTTTCTCCTGGATGGATACACAAAGGACACAACAGTCAGGCAAATATATGCATAATAGTCTATAAGTGACTAGGTTTGCCACAGAGTTATTATGATGTTGGCCCTTTTTATATGAAAGTGGCTCTATAGTGTCAGGAACACAAACGTGTATTCCTGATACTATAGTTCCAAAACCACCATTTAAGTGTTCGGTCCCCGTTACCTCTGATTAGAAAGATAATTTACTCAATTTTTCCAGCGCAGTGCATGGCTCCTTGCGTCTGACCGCACTCTGGCGGACATAATCAGAATTAATGATCTCAGCCAATCACAATGCTTTCCCATAGGGTGGGGGCAGAACCAAACACCACCCTAACCAATCGGCATCTCCTTATAAGGTAGCATTGAATCAATGTCTCTCTATGGGGAAAGTTCAGCGTTTAGCCGGTAAACATCAGTGCTGCATGTTGTGCAGCACTGACCTAGGAAGCACCTCTGATGGCCGTCTGAAGAGTAGTCACTAGAAGTCCTCCTAGGCTGCAACATTTCTCTGACAAGGCAGTGTCTACATTAAAAAGCCTGCAAGGACGGACTATACTCACCAGAACAACTACATTAAGCTGTATTTGTTCTGGTGACTACAGTGTTCTGTTTAATTGATTGAGTAATAATGTATATCAAAAAGGTATTAGGGTCTTAATATTGGTGAGTGTAATGTCTTTGTGAGTGTAAATTGTTCTTTTCTGTATATGAAAAAACCTGTTTCAAAAAAAAAAAAAAAAAAAAAAATGAATTCACAAAACGCTGCATTGTAGTGAATCAAAAACCAAATTGCAAATTCAGACTACAATAGCCAAACTGTGACTGTGGTAGTGTAGAGAGATCTTTGCAAATCAATTATTTTGGCCTACATTTTGCTTTTAAGTATAATTCACTGTGAATAAGCCTCCAATAACCACAAACTGTACACAGCCTAAAAATATATGTTCTTAGTCTTTTAGCACCATTGGAAAAACAAATTCAGAATTTCCACTTAAAAAATTCAGAATGTTGGCTACCACGTTGGTGATGGATACCAAACAAAATCTTTGACAACCATAAAGTCTAAAATCAAGAACAGGAGGTGGAGTTTCTGACAGGTTCAGATATTCCTGAAATTGGACGATAAATGGAGCTGGGATCATTTCACGCCGGCAATTTGAATGTCTTCTTTCCATAGGAACGGCTCATCTTGCTAAAAGGCAGTGGTTTCCCATAAAGACTGACTTTCTGTATTAGGTTTCAGTAATGAAATACTTGTACATAGAATACCCGAGTATTAGAAACGCAGTGTGTAGATGGCTTTTCTAATTTTAACCCTTACACAGCAAAGGAATTTAACCTTATCATATTGAGAGGAAAGGAAGACAACAATATAGTTTGGATTTACCAAGGGAATAAATATCTTTAATTTCAGTGTAATATTCTTAGATATTAAGAATAATATTGTAAAGCGCTACGGAATCTGTTGGCACCATGTAAACGGCAATAATAATAATAATAATAATAATAAGTGTGTAGCGGATACAACAGACGACACTTGATGGTGGGAGAATGACAAAGTTTAATGAGACAAGGTAGTCTTTTATACAAAGACCGCTAGCAGGAGGTCTCCATTGTTCACATAGGGAGCCCCTCCCTGGCGTCTCTGTGTCTGGGAGAGAATTGAGTCACCTCTCGCTAAATCCATTATCTCCCGAATCCAGAACGTCTTACATAAAAAACAAAACAAAATAACCTTAATAAAACAGCCCCGAACCTCAAACAATATTCCATTGAAAAGGTCTGATCTGAGCGCCCATTCAGGCAAATGTGCGCTCAGATCCATAAGGAATTGGGGAAACGCCACCAGGTTAAAGTTCTGACAGGCTGTTCGCTGAATCATGGCCGAAATGAGTTCCATACGTTTATTGCTAAAATAGTCTTTTAGGGAACAGTTGTTCAAGGCAGGTACTGCCACTAGGTGCATTATTGTTAATGCATTTGAACAATGCAGTTTAAATTTTTATTTATACGTGTTCCACAAATCATTCCCAAATGCCTGAGATCGGACAGGACTACGCACCAAATATAAACAGCTAGATAGGGCAAGAAGAGCATTACTTTTGATAATCGTGTTTTTGACCAATGATATAAAAGACTTTCATTGTTGCTATTCTCTGTAGGTCTACATTCATAATTTGTGTGTGTGCGTATATAAACCTAGCCTTTCCCACAATGAGATCACAGCGTGCCTAACTTTCCCTCACTAGGTTCTTTAAATTAAAGTGAATAGTTACAGTATTTTTTTTTTTGGCTATAGAATACACAAACTGCTCCAGTCAGTACAAATGGTATTCAACCAAAGAGATTTTGCTATTGATGTTAGCTGCAGTGTGATGTCACACACACGTATGGACACGAGCAGGCAATCGACAAATGCTCAACATACGTAGGTATGTTGCATCGAGACACTGAATCCTGGAATAAGAGTCACTATCTATGCTTGCTTCAGATACAGTGTGTCACAGCATCCAATGTCATTCAGAATGGTTGCCGACCCAATAATTATTATTTTTTTTAAAATTCTTTATTTTATTTGTGCATGAAGTGACAAGCGTGCAGAGCCACGACAGCCGCTGCATTTTTTTTTTTTCCCCCTCATGAAAATAACAGGCTATAAGACATTCGTGGTTTGCAATAAACATGCTGTGCTAAATGTGTATATAACAGAATTGTTCTCGCTTAATGTTATGGTAAGGTGTGTAGCCCTGCAATTCGTGTGTGGACAGGCGTTTATAACTGAGTCAACATTGCAGCAATTCAGGTTCTCGCTTGGTTATTTATATTTGACATTATAAATCATGCTGCTGTGCGGTTTCGTTGTGTTAGTTTGTGCGTTGCTTGTAGGGTTGCTATGTAAGTGCGTGTTTATGAGTGCCATGTAAACTTTGTGTGCATAAGCTTACTACATAGGCTATTCAGTCAAGTCTAGCTACTAGAGATCAGAAACAAGTAGAAGCTGCACACATAGCTAGTGAGATGACATTAGAGTTGTATGCACATTCTATGTGTATGGGTGTACGAGTCAGAAAACTATTGTTAAGATACATGCTAGATAAAATAATGTCACTGCTTGAGTAACCACCAGGGGGCAGAGAGTCACTGAGCTTGTCGAACACAGCACATATGTGTGCTTAGGCATTTGCTTACGCAGTTCTGCAGTAATAAAAACAATAATATTAAAATCAGAAAACAAGGAGATGCTAAACAAAATAATATGCAGTGCTAGAAATATGAGTATGCACTGTGAGCAGCCGCTTTGTCGTTCTTGTAGCGGTGCTGAGTCGGCTGGCGTCCTGGCCATGATGAAGTCCTCTGTGTTTCCAGCTGGTTGCTTGAGGGCTTAGGTTCTTGGTGGTCAGGAGTGTGCTTGGTCTTGTGTGTCTGCTGGCATCAGCCTAGGGTGCAAGATGAAGCCTGCGTGCTGTGTCCGTTACTCCTCTTTGTGTGGGTGGAGTGAGAGTCCAATTAGGGTGCCCTCAGGACCGCCGGTAGCAGTGAGGGGTGTTGTCTCCAATGCTGCAGATGGGAGCTTGTTAACTGGCTAGTAAAATGAGCGCGGCGGCCATCTTGGATTTTGCCATGCGGTCTTCATTTGATCCGTTCACCACTCGGTTGGTGAAGGTGGTCTCTGCCCCTCCGGTGAGGTCCGGGATAACCCCCCCTGTGGGGGGAGAACGGGGCCCTTAGTAGGCGTGAGAGAGGTCCTGCCGGACTAAGCACGGGAGACCGGCCGCTTCTCCCGCCAGAGCCTCACGACAGGCCGCAGTCCCAACTGCCCAGCATACATAGCTGCCGGTAGGACGGGGGCCGACCTGGATAACAAGAGTGGTTGGTTGAGTCCCCTTAGCCTTCTTGTGGCTGCTGGGTGATAGTTTTTCAGGGGAGAAAGGTTAATTTCAGGCTGGTTATAGGAGTTTCGCTCAGGAGCCGAGGTGCCCCACGTCCATCTTGCTTGGCGGTCAGGCCCCGCCCCCGACCCAATAATTCTTTAAGAGATGATTCCAATTAAGGAGAGAATTTACTTGCTTAATGAAGACAACATGAGAAGAATTACAATAAAATGAAAAGCTTTATTGAAATAAAAACAAAGTTTACCCCTTGCTTAACTCCTGCATGAATCTTTAAAATCAAACATAAAAATTCATACAGTCCTGATAAAAAGTGGATTTAATAAAACTGTCCTGCATTGTCCATCACATTTTAGGGCAGTAAACTTCAAGAACAGCAGAGTGTTACTGGAATTACTTATCATTAAAAGACTATGCGTGCGGTCACAAAAGGGTTTCTAAAGACCCTATGACAGTGAGGCATATATACGGTGTTGCCACCGGTTTCTCAGGAGATTGTTGCCAGGTGAGTAGGGCCATCAAACAGCATAGTACAGTTTATGACGGCACAGACTGGCACTTGTCCTTAACTAAATAGTTTAACAGTTTCCACTCTTTAAAATCAGTTCATTGAACTGCAAGGCCTCCAATGTAAGGGCCAACACGAACATAGCTTTGTTCTTGGATAAAACTGGTGCATGTTTAGGCACATTAAATGGTAATAAAGAGATATTGATGCTCTGTACCATCACATCATTATCAGCTCTGTGCAACTCTTTATGTGCCTTCCAGCTGCACCCATTACAGAGTCGCGATGAAGACACTGCCTTTTTTGGAGACTGTGCTTAGATCAGTGATGCACCATTCACAGGATCGCGGGGCTTACGGTACTTGCACTGAATCCACACGCGGTACATGGTCAGCTGCTTCCCGCGGTTCACTTGTAGTCTTCGGTCCACCGTGTTTTGCACCTTTTCTAGACCTGCGTTCGTGAACAGATCTTCGAGCTCATCTAAGAAAAACAAGTTAAATATACGTTTGAAAAAAAATCTCAAACTTTCAGACATGGTTACAGTTAGTTCTGTTAGAACGGGCTAAATGGAAGTGGCACACACTTTATGGCAAATGTCTTTGGATGTGTATCTCGTCCAATATTCTACTCACATTATTGGACTGACTTGATGAAAGAAGAAAGAGAGACAACCCAACACGACAAATCACATATGATCAATGCTTGAATGAGAGTGAAAGGTACATCATTTTCAGTCATCCTCTCTGTTAAATAAATTGTGTGGGAAACTTAGCCCCCATCTGCCCACTCAAAACACATCATACTATTCATACTATGTTGGGCAGGTACCAATACATTTCTGGGTCAGACTGTGTAGAGGACACATCGAAATCCATTTATATGAAATTTGAATGGCTATATTTGGCAGGATAATGGTGCAATATGCATGTCATGCCTGGAGTACCTTTGCTATGATATGGGAAAATAAAGTTGCTCAATATTATATACATTATACCAGGCCAAGGGGAAGTCATTAAAAAGCTCTTACATGGTTCTCTGCATTGCAGATTTAATTTAGAGGTCGTCACTGCACTGTAAAGACAAAGTAAGATAAAGGCCAGCCGTTACTTACCTTGTGCAAAGAAGTACACTCGCGTCCCATCTCCTCTTACATAAAAATTTTCAGACAGACAGCGACCTGTAGGATATAAGATAAACAAGCAATAAAGATGCACATAATGTGGACTTACCGTAAAGTTATTTTTCCAGAAGATTAGAGTGCTTTACAACTGGGATTTCATCACCTGGAGGGAAAAAACAGTCAGGCAATCTCCCAAACTTTTCAAGAACCTCCCCCAATTAACCTTTGGCCTTATAGATTGCTTCCTACCCAAGACATCCCCAGAAATTACAAAAGCCAAATAACCGTACCACTCAGACTATGAACAAATTTGGGGGAGGAGGGGGAGTGAGAACTGCCTCTAATCTTCTGGAAAAATAAATTTACAGTAAGAAATTTTTTTAGATTTTCCCTTCAGGTTAGAGGCAGTGCCTTACAACTGGGATATCCAAAAGCAATCTCTTAGGTCGGCACTCAAATCTCACTGCAAAAAAACTGCGACCAAAGTTGTATCTTCCATGGTCAACAGACCAAAATGAGTGAAGAGATCACCTTGTGGCTGTTAGGAATTTGAGAGAATGTATAGCAGAAGCCCTCAGGCACCCGATCTGAACATAACTGTGATCGAAAGAGCTTCAATGAAGATAGGTGTTAGATAAGAAAAAACCCAAACGAATGAAGACCTTTAAGGTAACGTAGACGAGAACTAAACGCCCAGGCAGTGGAATTAGAATTCCAAGACCCTAGAACGCTGTTGGGAAAAGTTAGAAAAATAACGTTAGATGGAAGATTGGAAAGAATTAAAGAATCCAACTTAACTCCACTTTCTCCTGCTGAAAATGGAAACTTGAAGAACTTTAAGTTCTTGCCAAAAATATATTTTGGGCGACTACCCCCAAAAACCTAGAGTGAAGACTCAAATCAGCAAGATCCATTTATAGTAAAATAAATTGTCAATAATTTCCTGAGACAAAACATTATCCTTCAGTATCTGGTATACATAAACCAGGTCGTCAGCTTGAATTACAACAAATTTGAGAAGCGGTACCCTTGAGAATTCCAGGATGCCTATTTACAGGTAAGGTCCCCAAAGATTCCTCCGGATAATTTTTGATGAACGGTGAAACAGCTACATGCCACCAAGGGAGGAAAACTATCATTCTCACCTTTTCCATCCTATAGGATCTTGGGGAATAGGGAACCAGGAGGAAACTATAGGTTAGACTGGAATTTGCAAGAAAGCAAAGGAAACCAAAGCTTACTGTTCTGTCCAAGCTTGTCCAATGAAACACTTGCTATCTGTTTGATCTAGAAGTCCCAGTTCCATAACCGGATAATCAAATTCTTCCTATCGTTTGGGTGAAGATCAGGGAGTATGAACCAATCTGCTTTGTATTAAATGTTGACTACTCAATGCTACAGCTAAACAGAGGAATTTTAAGTTCTATGCATAAGGGAATAGACCTAAGAAAAACTAACAAAAGCATATCCTGGAACAAGATTTTTCAAACAAGACAAAGACCTTGTTTGTACATAATTGCTACCGATGTAGAACTATCCGACCAGATCTGGACAAGATAATACCTGGTCTTTATCTGAAAGGCAAAGAGAGCTAGCCAGATAGCCTTTGGTCCTATGTAGTTGGATAAGTTTTTTTCAAAATATCTCAGCTAATTTCCCTTCAACCCTATGAGAACCTAGCTGAGACCTGAAGCATCAGTCGTAAAATTCTGAACGATCAATTTGAGAACTAGAACAAAAAGTAAGAACCGTCTGGCATCCTTCATTTCTGCCTGGTTCAGAAAGGAATGACCGAAGTATAAGATTTTACTGCAAAATCTTATCAGCAACTGTATCTGGCCTCTGAAGGACCTGTAAACAGTGCTATGCCTAAAGAAGCTGAAGAGACCAAGCAGGTTCTTACAAGACGGGAACCAAAATTATTTCCCTAGTATCTTGTCTACTGAAGTAGAAGAGAGATTTCAGGTGATAAGGCCATAGAGAGAACCACAATTTTTTTTCTTCTGTTTCTTGACAAACACCAGAACTGCACACTTCTTGTAAAGGGAATTCTTTATCAGAAGATTGATTAGCATCCACCCGTATGCTGTAGAAAAACACCCTAACCTTTAGGGGCTGGTGTACAAAAATTAATTAGGTGCCCCTGAGGAAGCCATATTGTAGAGATTCAACAAATTTATGGATGGCAACATTTTGCATAGTGAGAGAATATCAAGTGGCAATTGGCATAAGCTCTTCTTAAAAGAAAACGGCAAACAAACCTAGGCAGTAAACCATCCCAGTCATACCGTATCTATTGCAGTGCAGGGTACAAATTGAACTTGGTGGAACTACACCTTGATCAATAGGCTTGCAGCTGTACTAGAACTTGCATCAAGACCAGTAACATGAGGAAGAAATAATTTTCCATTGAGACTAGTTCATACAGGTTACCATCTTTATTGGCTGAAGCGACACTGATTACATAGATATACAGTCTGCATAAGACAATACCCATGATCCAGGCCTTCCTTAACCGTAATTGGGAAGCAGAGGCTAGAGCAGAAAGAATATCTGCAAAGTGCATTTCAAAACCTGTTTGATGCAGACTCTGCAGGAATCAATAATAGAAGTAATTCTTTAAAATTGCAATACCATCCAACAGCCTTACCTGCTATAGGCTTTCCTTAGCTGTATTTGGGAAGCAGAGGCTAGAGCAGACAGAATAGCTGCAACTGCATTTCAAAACCTGTTTGATGCAAACTCTGCAGGAACCAATATTAGGAAGCACTTTCTTTAAAATTGCCATTCCAATAGTCAGTTAGCTCAAACCTGTCTTTGTAACTGACAACATAGGACTTGGAATTTAAGACATAACATAAAATGTGCAACTATGGAGTGAAGCACAGGAAAAGTTCTGCCCCAGCTGAAAAACAGACTGCCTTTTTAGAAACTGATATCAGGTGAAACTAGTTAAGGTGGTGAGAATGTGAATTGCAACAGAGCTTTGTCTACAGCAATTGCTAAAAGCCTACTGCATGTTTTAAGAAAATAAACACTGCGGCTAGGACCCAGGCATTTAAAGAATCCATCTGCTACAACAGTATATTAACTTAACCAAAACCAGATTTTAAATATCAGCCTCCTAAGGATAATCTTCCCATAGTCATACGGGTCTTGCTCCTGTGAATATATTCCACCGGAACACTTCACTTTAATTACTGACCCTGTTGCAGCAATTAGTGATATTGAAACCCATATTAACTAATCACTGTGTTGCAGCTATTTTGAGCCAGAAAGGAAACTTAAATTTACCAAATAGAATTATGTAAAAGTATTTTCTTATCTAATACCCTTTATAGGCTTTACTCAAAGAATAATCTATTATGGGCCCGATCTACTAAGTGCTTACGCTTTCAAAGCACTATTTGTGTTAAGATTTTAGGAATAATCTTTAAGTGACGAGAAGCTAAAAAATCTCCAACTTAGAAACATTTGCGCTTTTAGCTTATCCATCTTGCAGCACAGATAATTAACTTATTCAGGCTAGAGTCATTTAAGATAAAAGCAAAAAGGCTTACCTTAACCCCTAAAGGACACAACTTCTGAAATAAAAGGAAATCATGACTGAATATTTCTGTCATGTGTCCTTAATGGATTAAGGTAAGCCTTTTTGCTTTTATCTTAAATGACTCTAGCCTGAATAAATTATTATTTAAGTGCACCTGGCAACAGTTAGTTACTGCTGGGTAAATGGCCTCTCTAAGTCCTGGAAACCAAAATCTTGACCCCGGAGGGAGAGAAAAAAAAAAAAGGTATTGGTGCCTGAATTTTAAGTCGCATTACGCATGTCCACTGTGGAAATAAACGTAACCTGTACGAGTGTTCCACCGCCAGGACTTCCCAGCTAGTGCCCAAATGCATACCATCGTCTGCCCGGCACCTGGCTTGGTATAGACGGACGTAATACAACCTGGGGAGATACAGCCGTCTGGTGTGTTATCCCTGGCCGATCTCTGAAAAATGTATTTAAAAAAAAGTAGAGCCTCCAGAGCCTCGGCCCTCTCACCATACTTCTAGGGAGAAAACCTGAACCTGACACCCTCCTCTGCCGGAGGCAGGCAAAAGAACTGGGGATGTCTTGGGTAGGAAGCAATTTATAAGGCCAAAGGTTAATTGGGGAGGTTCTTGAGAAGTTTGGGAGATTGCCTACCTGTTTTTCCCTCCAGGTGATGAAATCCCAGTTATAAAGCACTGCCTCTAATCTGAAGGGAAAAAGCAGCTTAGCTACAGAAGGTCAGATGGTCCCAGGAGAAGTGGCTATAAGCTGCTAGACTCACCTTTCTTGAAGCGTAGTTGAGCCATGTCGTACCGGCCATAGTCCCGCAAAAGTATGCACCCCCCTGGTTTCAGTAGCTTACTGAGGCGGTTTATAGCATTCTGCATCCTACCAGCGAGAGGAAAGCAGCGTTAGTGGCAGTTAGAACAGATAGACCTTATTTATTCAACTCCAATCAACGACCCAGACAAAATGTTTACTGTAGTACAACTTTCTATCCCAGTGTAATAGAGACCTGCTTGATAACAGGAAGACTAATGATTTAGAACAATTTGTTTTGTTAAATATACTGTGCTACAATTGGTAATCTTTGTACAGCTCCCTGGATAGGGCACTAAATAAAAGTATGATAGTGACCTGTCCTACATTCCTGAATTGCTCTAAACAGTTAAAACAGCCAGACAAAAAAATAAAAAAATGCCCTCTAAAGGAGCAGTGTTTTGCATTGTAAGCCGTGAATTTAATTAATAGCAATTATTTTAAAACTGATCTCCGCATAATGTCTAGTACTCAAAGTGATTTAGTCTCTGTCCAGGGCTTCTGCAATAAGCAAGACTTCTGAGCCCAGTCAGTCACTCACTTGTTTGGGAGAATGGCAGACAGGACGAAAATCAGGACAATGACATCCAAACTCTGATCAGGCACGGGGTAGGAAGCCTCGGCGTCTGAGAGATCATGGACAAAAGCGAGGCAGCGAGAAGGATCATATTGCTTGTTACTCTGTGGAAGACAGCAACATTGCTATGATTTACCAGCAGTGTTACCACACATTAACTTGTAAGAATTCGAAAAATTTTAGAAGAATTTTAATTTTGACAAATATTTGAATATATTACATTTCAAGACCCTCAAACTCTGAGCACAGAATGTATTCACTAAACAGTGAATTGTGGTGAAGTTTAAACCAAATTGAAAAATTCAGACTTAAAACAGCAAAGCTGGCACATGTTTCCAAATCAGATGTTTTGACCTAAATTTTGGAATTCAATTTTCAGATCCCTACAATTCATTGTTTAGTGAGTAAACCCCTGCAGTGGTAATAATCGGGAATTGAATCTGGGTTTCAAAATTCAGGCGGATATGGCCAGACTGTAAAAAACCCAAATGTCAACTAGAATTTCAATTTGGCTCTTTTGATCTAAAATGTTAAATTCAATATTCTGGCAATTCACAAATTAGTCAAAAATCGTGTCAGACATGTTTGCTTTATGGGCAGAATAGCCCTCAGCAAAAAATAATAATATATTAATAAAAAACACACTAAAGTACTACACTTTCAAAGTGTCTAAAATATTCAGCTCTCTTATAGAAGTATAATTATTTGACTGTAGATATTTATTGCAATTAGAATGTTCTACAGTTGACAAATGCTTTTTGTGATGCCCTAAGGCAGGCTTCCTCAAACTCCGGCCCTCCAGATGTTGCTGAACTACAACTCCCATGATTCTATGAGTGAAATAGATAGGCTGAGAATCATGGGTATTGTAGTTCAACACCATCTGGAGGGCCGGAGTTTGGGGAATCCTGCCCTAAGGTGTATTTATGAGGGTGCAGAATATTATATTATGGTCTATGGCCTTTTAGAGTATCTGATGTAGGACTCCATTGATTTCTAGAGAACTTGGATCTAGATTTCATGGCTCCTAGAAAAATAACGTTGACACCTAGAACATGAAGAATATAATAACAGTCACACCTTATATATGTGTGCAGTGACTTTCATTAGAGAAGGTTAAAGTATCTTTTTTGGTTGGTGGTCTAACAATATAGAATAGCTTTCAACATTTGATGGTGTTTCATTGGCATTAACACTCATCTGTTATGAGAAATTCTCCAATTTGGAGGAAAAGACCTAACTGTTATCCTCTACAGACGCAGATCCCGAGAGAGACTGTCTATTTCTCCAGATCTGACATTAGTAGTTATGGTGCCAGAAGTGCCCTGGCGCTGTCCCACAGTAAGTTATGTAAAACCATTTTAGTATGGTTTGACTACTCACCTGTGTCCAGCAGGCACCCGCACCACATAGGCTCTCCTCCAGCAGGAGTCGTTGAATGCCAGTTTAGACTAATAGAGGATGGATGGATCATTGGTTGAGTGTCAGTTCAGCACTCTCAGCCATCGCTTTCCTGCCTCTGTCCTGCTTTGCGCTCAAGTGACACTCAAGCTACTGAAGACTCTATGTGGTGTGGGTGACTAGCAGGACCTAGGTAAGTTGTCAAATTGTGCTAAAATGGTTTGAAATCTTACCACGAGACTACAGCAGCGACTCCAGGGACAACATTCACTACAGTGTGCTGTAGTAGTTATGGTTCTTGAGGTTTTCCTTTAAATAGTGATCTTGGAGCAGAATTAAGATCCCAATCAATATATCATAATAACCATTCTAAGTCACAGTCCAGAATTTTACTGTGGATGCCTGGTAGATTGTCCAAGTTTAAGCAGCCAGCCCTTTCCAAGCAGCTTTGTGACCCTGTTCTCCTTCCCTTTGGACCATTGAGGACCAAACCGGTCTCCACCACAGAAAAAACAGCCCTTCTGATGACAAAGTGTGGGAGACCTCAGGCAATTTAGGAAGATTTTATTTTATAATTAATTTGATATGTTGTGGCTTTCTGCCCTAGATTTGCTGACAGAGGCCTTGATTTAAAATATTGGGATAAGATTTTACAAGGATTTAAATATTTTTGGATAAAAAGTTTAAAATGATCTTTTTTACATATTAAAATAAAATGATATGTAGAAAGGTGGTTTTCTTGCATTGATAAAAACATGTGATTGTTATTTCACGGATGCATCTTACTAAACAAGCTATAAAGGCTGACAAAAAAAAAAAAAATCCCCAAAAAAACACATCTACAATGAATAAGGATTTGCTGTTCAAATCATGTTCGGTCAATTTGTGTCAATGTAGAAAGTAGCTAATGGGACACTGTAAGCACCCAGACCACTTCAGCTCATAGAGGTGGTCTGGGTGCGGTGTCCCTTTTGCACTTACTGCTGCAGTATAAAACAGTGCAGCTCTAAGTCTGCCCTTAGTAGATGTCTACCAACAGTCACTAGAGGGCTTCTGGAATTGAAACTGATTTTTGGTCCATTATCTAACACTGGACGGACCTCCAGCATCAGATTTTTCCCCATAGGAAAGCATTAAATAATGCTTTCATTTGGGGAAATCCTAATGCGAGCGCGGTCATTGCCGTACTTTCGGCTTAGGTCTCTCCCGCCAGCTGATGTTGGCGGGGGAGGAGTTTGGGCGGAGCCTGACCCAGTGCCGAATGACTACGGCACTGAATTCAGCTAAGTGACTGAAGAAGTTTTAACCCTTCAGTGCCGAAGGGAGGGAGGGAGGGAGGGAGGGAGGGGGAAGCACCTTAGAAATCTATAGTGCCAGGAAAACGGCCTTTTCTTGCTTGCAGCATTATTCAAATATGAATTGACTTCCCTAATGGTAAACCCTGATTAGTGGTAGAGGTCAGCCAACAGTCTGGATATACAGTGCAAAAAAAAAAAAAAAAAAAAATTTAAAATAAGCTGGTGTTTTTTCTGACCGAGTCTGGAATAAAACTTCAGAAACAGAGTTCATGAGATAAAAAAAAAAAAATTTCTCGAAAAATTCCCTGTATGTTCTGCACAGCCCAGTCTGTTTTCCAAACTGTGTGTTCACGTCAGCCCAAGAATAAGAAACAGCTGCTAGTATAAAACGACACACGCATATTTTAGAACAGTCCTTTTTATCACATATCAGACACTGGTTATGTCCTCCTACCTTCACAAGCTCAACAGCAGTACTGGAGAAGTCACAGCAATAGACAAAAAGGCCAGGGTCACTGGTAGAGAGAGAAAAATCCCATTACACAACCGTCACCCTCACAAATATAAAATTACACTATTAGGGGGACCCATTCTAGCTGTTTGTGTTTTAAGGTTTTAATTTCCCGGACTACATCAGGTCACCACTGTTTATACAATATATATCATTGATGTTAATTTAAACAACATGAAATTACCCTGTTTTGATGCAAAATATAAGTGGTTTTCTAAGCTGCATATACAAAACCTGAACACGGGTTAAATGTCTAGTTCCCTTAGTTAAAGACCAGAGAAAATTGGATCCTGCTGGACATATGGCAATGAGTAAATACCAAGCGATAAAATCTTATGACAAAAAAAAATAAAAAAAATAAAAAATAAAAAATAAAACCCACCCACACTTCAGTTAAAAAGATAATTTTTAAAAATGGGTAAAAATAATAAAAATCTAGCAATCCAGTTAATATGGGCAGCTACCATTATGCTCAGTCAGTCAGCTGTTGTATGAAACTTTTAGAAAGTTCAAACTTGCCTAATCTGCTGAGTTAAAGTTAAACCAGATTTTAGTATTGCAAATATTTCTAACTACCACACTGTGCAAAAATGGAGATCGGATTGCAGTGCAGACAACTGAATGCATTTCCTGATCTTTCTGTAACATCCAGTGTAAAAAAACTTACGTATTGTTCTGTAGAATTGGAAAAACTGTGTTCCCTACGCCGCAGCCCACCTGACAGTAGATAGAAGAGATATAAAAGATCTAAAATTAGAATCTGCATTATCAGAGGTAAAGACCTGAACTATTCACGTGTTCCACAAGGATGCAGTTAGTTGCTGAAGCGTGGCACGGAAAATAAAAAGGCACTGAACCATTAAAAAAGCATAATTCTTGAGATTGTGTTAAGTGATCTGTGCATTGCTATCCAGGCAAATAAAAAGTGTTCAAATCATAACGCCTAACAGCACCAAATCTAATCTAACCGAGCCTGGAGGAGGGGAAGAAATGAGGACATATCAGGAGAGAATGCTTTGAACAGGGAGGGGGGGAGGGAGAGGGGAGAGAAATATTGCTGGGGAATAGTGATGTCCGAACGGTTCGCCGCGGAATGCTAACATATGACCCTGTACCTCACAGTCAGCAGACACATTCCAGCCAAACAGCAGCAGACCCTCCCACCTCCTGGACAGCTCACTAAGAATGCAGCTTCAAAATGGATGCTGTCCAGGAGGTGGGAGGCAATGTCTGCTGCTGATTGGCTGGAATGTGTCTGCTGACTGTGAGGTACAGGGTCATATGTTTGCCATCCGCAGCGAACCGTTCGGGACATCACTACTGGGGAATAAAAGATAAGAATGTTGTGGCGAAAGTGAAGAAAAGAAAAACAAAGTTGTCACAAAATTAGAAAATGTTGTAGACAAAAGAGAGAATGTCACACTGGAAGGAAGGGAAAAAAAAAGTGTTGAAACCTTGAGTAACAGCAGGTGATATTACAATAAAGTAACACAAAATGTATGATCTTTGTCTTCAATTACCTCCAAGATGCGGTAGGTAGAAGAAGCTCCTGGGTACGCATCCCCCGCATCTTCTCTAATCCCAAGGCCTGTGAAAGTCTTAGCTAGGGAACCTTGTACGTCATCACGCAGTTCAGTGTTTGTTTCTGTTACGGCATCTGTACCGTCAGGAGCGCTGACTTGTGAATACAATTCTGGAAACTCTGTAAACAGCCAGTGTCTGTCTTTGAAGAATTTATTTTCGTGAATATTGTAGAAATCGTCCCAAAAGCTGCTGGCCTTATTTTCATATTCCTCTGAAAAGAAATCGTCATACTTTTTTTAGCTGTACCTTTAAATCTGTGAAATCAGTGATCGATTACTGAATAGCTATGGCTGCAGAAAATCTATTACAATATTGATAATGCTATTAATATATAGGGTGAACTCGTTTTATAGAGGCTTTGGAAATGTTGACTGTAAGCCGTCAACTTACACTAAAACGGTTTGACTACTAACTATGGCACCTGGGCACTCCTGGTACCATAACCACTACAGCTTGATGTAAAGCCTATGGTGTTTGAAGTATTCCTTTAAATCTCCGTGATCAGGCTTTTATGTCGAGTAATTACACACACATTCTACTGAAATGTTAAGGGCCTTTGTACTGAAGACAAAAAAAAGTAATACTTCACCATAACTGAGATATTGCCACATTAATTATAAAACTGGATTGAAGAGTATATTTCTGGGATAAAGAATACTGTATTTTTACTCAGCACCTTTTAGAAAACACAGACACACACAAAATACCTTGCTTATCAGACGGCACGGGCTGGCAACTGTTTTCTTCAACTTTCTTTTTAGCTACAGATTCCTGATCTGCAGTCCATTGCACATTGTCCCTTAGAAGGAAATTTTAGAATTTAGCATAGTGGTCAGTTTGTGATTACAATGAATTATGGTCTAGGAGACTGTGCACCCTATGGGGTATAACTTAGTTCCCTTCACCTTGCAACCCATGTGGTGAACGGAGGGGCAGGGGCCCCTTGTAGGAACCCAAAGTGGTATGACTGATGTCCAGGAAGGCTCCACGTTCTTAATCTTCCCCCCACCCCTCTTTTTTTTTTTAATGTGCAAACAAGGAAAGCCGATAAGTCCACTTTATGTAGTTTGGAGGCAACCAGTTAATGAGAAAAAAGAAAAACCAGCCTGTAATATAGAGTGCAGTACAGGGAACAGGGAGAGTTCTGACACCAGCAGAGGGTACTTTATACCATACCTTTCTGATTACTAATGAGAAATATGTTGGAATGTAATTAGATTCTAAAAGTTATTCACTATTTTAGTGAATTAGAACTTAATGGCAACAAGCAGGCAAAACTAGCTCAGCTGTGATTATAGCTGAACTGGGGAATTTTTCCTAAATCCATTCTTTTAGATTCAGTTTTGCCATTCTGATTTAAACCACTGAAATTCTGTGTTTAGCAAATAACCCTGCAAAGTGAGCATTGTTGGGGATTGAAGGTGAATTTCCAATTTTAATCCACAATAGCAGTAAATAAAACATAACCGACTTGGAGAAATGTTCCCATTCCAGCTATTTTGGCCTACAATTTGAAATTACTTTTAATTCACAATTTAGCATTTATCTCTGTAACACAGGGGTGCCCAAAAAGTAGATCCCCAGATGTTTTAAAAACTACAGGTTCCATGATGCTTTGCAAAGCATCAAGGGAGTTGTAGTCCCACATGTGGGGATGTACATTTTAGGCACCCCTGCTATAAACAGATCCCCAATGGCTTAGCAATAGGTAAAACCCCAGATGTTGCAGAATTTTAACTACCATGATGCTTTGCCAGGCTTTACAATGACAGAGCATCATGGGAGTTGTAGTTCTACAACATCTGAGAATCTACCTTTTGGGCAGCCCTGCTATAACAGATCCCTAATGGCTTAGCAATAGGTAAATTCCTCAGATGCTGCAGAACTACAACTACCATGATGCTTTGCCAGGCTTTACAATGACAGAGCATCATGGGAGTTGTAGTTGTACAATGGCCTATGTATCTCTGTGTAACCCTGACCCCCATGATACTTTCCATCAGAGCTATGTCCGCTCTCCTCACCAGGCATTGTGCTGGAAAACCCGGCTCGGGTCGCTCAGGTGCCGGTTCCCGAACTGAGGCCGCTTCCCCTCCATACCGGAAGCGGAAGCTGGCGTTGCCGCGGAGATGGAGAACGCGCAAGGAACCAGCCAATCGGAGAGCGTCAAGGGGCGGGTCCAGTGTGGGACCAGCCAATCATAGACCGAGCTCCGCCTTCCCAGGAAGTGGCTAAGCCTGGAGCCCCCACGTGTGAACACAGAGGACATTAAGCTCTGGTCTCCGGAATGATGGCGCTGAGCTGTGACAGGGACATAAAAAAATCATATTAATCTCCACACAAACAGTGCATTAAACAGCATGTCAGATATAAAGTACTATGGTATAATTATGTATTTATAATCATTAATTAAATAATAATTATTATTAATTTTCTAATTCTGAATGATTAATGTGTTCCACTGCCCTTATTTCTATCATTTGCAATTAAATATAAAGCAAAAAAAATCATGAACAACATTTCTCTCTCTATGCATTTTATCCTATATTTATTCTCTGTTTAATGAGGGTACTGTTAATTCCCTGGGATAAATAAATGATCTGTTATGTCCTCCAGCACAGAGATATGTACATAACACTGTAACTGGGACATTCTTCTATCTAGAGTGACAGCTGACAATTATTTTAAATGCCTACCTGTCTTTGGCTGTGGAGGAACTCGAATTCCAATGGGGTTTGCAGAAAACCATTGGATTTTTCACAGAGGAGGTGCTTGTTTGAGGCTGGAGCATGCAGGAAGGGGAGGAGACACATTAAAGGGACACCGTAGGCACTGTATTTGCTTCATCTCATTAAACTGGTTATAGTGTATGGAGTTCCCTGGTGCCATTATTTCTTTCAGCCTTAAACAGTTTTTAATGTTGTAATGTTTTAATGCTAAACAAGAGACCCCGGCAGTCCATCCCCTCTGTGCTGCTTTGGCTAATAAGGAAGTTTTCCCCTGAGCAGCAAGAGGCAGCTGTGATTGGCTGAGAGTGTCAGCTGACTGCTTTTAACCTGTCAGAGTTCCAACTGACGGTATGAATGGGTATGACAACAAGGAAGTGTGTAATCTCTGCCTTAGCTACACATACAGAAGGGGCCGGACTGTGGGTGGCCAGGGACTCTTATTTTGTGGCATACTGCACAAACATTGTGCAACACTGAATGGAGGGACTGTGCCAGGGCACTCCAGGCACTATAACCAATTCAAAGAGACAAAGTGGTTATAGTGACTACAGTGTCCCTTTAAGAGAGCTTAGCTGACATGGGAGGAGGGAAGAGGCAATGCTTGTGCAAGGTGGCAGCTTTAAATTAGTCTTCGGATTTACAATTACAGTGATGTATACAGCACCAACATATTCCGCAGCGCTGTACAACAGGAACAAGACAAACATTTAATTCTAAAAAAACGTGTATGACATACCGGAGCAGTAAATGTAGGGTCCCAGCCCAAACGCGATCGCAATCACATGATTTTGCTATTTCATGATGAAAAGTCATGATTTCATGAAAGACACTGTAAGGATATGAAATAGATAAACTCTTTTTGCTTTATATGCTTTAAAATAATGTTTGAAATAATTATGCTGACCTTGGCAGATGTAACTGGTAACATGCTATGAGAAGCCTCCCTTCTACAGGATGTATGACCTCGCTCGACCTTAGGATGTTCCTGTCCCGTCTTTATTCAAATGCTTATCTTTTTAATGTCAGACAAGTATGTACTATTAACTATAAGGAAGAGATAAATCTCGCTGCTTGCGTGACAAACTGTGTATAAATGCTAGCCCTGAAAATACACTCATTTGAGAATCTTGTTAAAGCACATTTGTGGTGTCCGTGTCTTTATTGCTAACAATGATTCTCCAACAATATTGATTATGGTGACTGGAGAATCGAGAATCGAGGGGAGTTGAGTCCAGAACAGCATTAACCCTTTCAGACACGGAGGCTCATATTGCTGAACCCTTTCTTTACTGTCCACCAATAGCAGCAAAGAACACAATTATAAAAAATCGAACATATACAGTGAGACACCAGCCAATCCCCATCCAAGTCCCAGTATAACAGCAAGCACCGCCTCTAAATCTTCCTCTTTCTTTGGAGATGCGACACATCACGAGGATGGGAAATAAAACAGGAACCAACAGAAAATCTCAACATCCGGAAAACGTGGTAATGAAATACAGTGAATGCCAGTCCATGGAACTTCTCAACTGGAAACAAACTTCAAGACGGTAACGAAATCCAGCCATCTTAAGCGAAACAAACCAGGAAGCAGTGAGGATCATCGAGCAACACCAATTCAAGCTGTGAAAACACAAAGAACAGGAGCCCAACGGTTAAATCAGTACTAAAACCAAATTGCAAATGCCAATAGACATGAATCCCACAAGTAGCCAGTCGTATTACAAACAGTGAGAAACCCACTAAATAAATACAGTGCATACAACAGACGACCTACCGCACCCTGGAATCCCTATGTTAGAGAAAAATTCAGAATGGTAGGTCAATACTCGCCTCCATGTCTTTCATAAAATCATGACTTTTCGTCATGAAATAGCAAAATCATGTAATTTTATGTCAAGACACGGAGGCTCATATTGCAAGTTTAAAGCTGACCAACAACTGACGAAAAAACGTGAGGGACCGGCCGAAAATAAAATTCACGAAACGTGGATTGATGCGACCAGTCCGCCATCCTAATCAAGTCTTCCAGATGCGCACCTGAAGCCACCATAGATGTGGCTGACGCCCCCGTGAAGAATGGGCACCAAAAACGGACTTGTCCACACCAGCCTGCGACATCACCCAGTGGGCCAAGGTAGAACTGAAAACTGGAGAAAACAGTTGGCGAATCGAGAGAAATAGTTGCAGGGACGATACAGAACGATGCGCACTGATCCGAATCTTATACTCGTGCAAACAACCAACAGGACACAACGCCGGAGAAGCTGGAAAAGCCGCATATGATACCAACTGAATAGCAGTCTTAGTACGTCTAGAGATGTTAAAGGTCACCCCGTCCTGAGTGAAGGACCGTGCATCGTAGTCCAGGTCACTAACATCCGAAATCTGCTTGCACAAAATGAGGCATAAGAGGGAGACCAACTTGGCTGACAATTGTCATAAGGATAGGTCCATGTTAGAAGGCCAGGAACTGAAGAGAGACAATACGCAGGAGACAACCCAAGCGGAGGAGTAACGAGGCCAAGGAGGGCGCGACAGTCGGGATCTCCGGAGCAACCGGCACACCACGAGGTGTTGACCCACAGGACAACCATCAAAACCTTCATGAGCCGAAGAAATGGCCGACCTGTACAATGTAAGGAAATGAAGGATTGCAGTCACAGGTGCCAAAACGGGATCCATGTTCCTAGCCAGGCACCAGCTAGCCCAAGCTCGCCAAGCGGTCCCATATGACCAAAATAAAGTGAGTTTTGGAGTGCCCTTTTTAGAAAATGTAATTACTATTTTAGGCTAAATATAAAACACTGCTGCTAACACACTCTCAATGTGGTACCCTCAAACACACATGCCATATACAAGATGAGATAAGAAAAGAGTGGAGAAGTATTTGTTGAAAAAGTGGCTGTTTAGGTGATAAGCCCAATGTACATGCAAATTTGTGGAGTAATATGAAAAGTAATACTTAGCACACTTTATTCTCCAGTTCACTTTCTCTCGGCACATATAGAGAAAGATATACAGAAAACACATGATTGTGTAGATTGTAAAACCAAAATGTAAGGATAAATAAAAAAATAAAGGTACTCCCACAAGTATACCCAGAATTGCTAGGATTAAGGAAATACTTTAACTGGCTTTAACACTTATGCAAAGGTTTATTTCAAAGGTACAAGTTAAAATAAATAAAATAAGATATCAAGAGGTCTTCAGGTTATAGAACACATATTTACACTGAAAAAACTGCCTCCTACGAGAAAAATTTTCCGGGTAAGACGGCAACAACCTGGGTAAATCTACTGCCAAGTCCAGCAGCTGTGGGAACCAGGATTGAGTGCCCCCAAACGGGGCCAGCAGGATCAATTCGGCCTGTTGGCAGTGAACCTGGAGTAGGACTTGAGGGATCATGGCAAATGGAGGGAAGGCATAGTGGAGCAAGCCATTTCAGTCTTGCAGGAAAGCGTCCACTGCTTCTGCAGTCTTGTCCAGGCGCCAGCTGTAGAACCGTGACAATTGGGTGTTGAGTCGGGACGCAAATAGGTCGATGGCAAAAGGACCCTAGAGAGACGAGATAGCGGAGAACACCCCCACGACCAATCTTCAGTCGCTGCTGTCCGAAAGACAGCGTGAAATCCAGTCCCGAGAGGCACTCCGCCTGGACCACTAAATCCTCGGTCAAGCAATACACCCAAAAGTTCTTCGCCAGGTGAGCCAGAACTGCCGACTGAGTGCCGCCCATGTGACTGACATTGTTTATGCGCAGCCGGATGCATGCGCTGGCAGTCACGTTCGCGAAACTCCGCAAAGGAACCGGCCAGGAACACCAGTGCGTTTATGGGGAGTTGGGCTTTGTCCTCCGACCAACGTCCTGTTGTAGTCACACCGTTGCAGTGGGCACCCCACACGTGGAGACCTGCGTCCGAGTCCACGGTGAACTCTGGTTTGGAACCGAAGATGACCTTGCTGTGACAAGACCAATCTCACCACTGTGCATTGGAGAAGCCTGGTTGCCCGCCTGCTGCCTTTAGACTATGGCCCCATGTTGAAACACTTGATTTTCCCCTGCAAAGACACGATAGCCGGGTCATTCGGTGCTGGCCCGGTTTGAGCGGTGATACCCCAGATAGCTATGCCATGGAGCCCATTCGTATAATGAAAGACTATGGGAAAGACTTTGATTCCATGGCAATTGAACTGTATGTGTGTGCTCTGAGCGCCATTCAGTAATAATGTGCGCTCAGATCTGAGCTATCTGGGGATATGTTGAATGTACCTGTTTTGTGCAATGGCTGTACAGTTATATATTTTTATGTGTTTTATTGTCTTTTGCTGCCATGTGTTCAATGGAATTTTGCCTCTGTCCTTGGAGATAATTGGATTACTTCCCAATTATCTCCAGGATAGAAGACTCTGTGGAACTGGTTTTGGGCAGAAAAGCCATGCTTCATTTGGTCACAAAGGACTTCGATCTATCTTTTGAACCAATGGACCAATTTGGATGATTTTGACATATGTTTGTATTTGGAAAATGCTGATTCTGAAAATGTGAATGTGATGCATACGTTTCAAGTTATGAATAATGTGGAAAAACTGTATTTCTCTGCTGGTGATAATTACATTACCCATTGTGTAAGGTAATTGTATCACAGGCAGAGGGGAGGATTTTGTGTGGGAGTGTCTGAGTGTATTGTATGTTTTTATTGGTTGTTTTCCAAAACCCTGTGGGTGGTACTAATGTGTATATAAGAACAATAAACCCACAGCTCTGACCGTTCACTGCTTGACCCTCAACACGGAGCTTTGTCTCGTTTTTTGGGGGATTTACTGTATGCTGTTAGAGACTGATTGCCAGGAGTGTAAGCCGCTTGGGTGCTCTTCCTGTTCAGCTGCTAGCAGCTATTTGTGAGGTTCCAGTTCGGGAATTTGGAGTGCTACTTGGTATCCTGTTCGGGAGTTTGGGGTTCTGCAGTAGCTGTGCCTGTGTCTCTGGAAGGGGAAGATCTACTTAACGGCGGTTTAACCCTTTAATGCTGAGGGTGCCGTTACACTTGCCATTCCAAACAGAGAGGTTGTGGATCCACCAAGTCAAGTTGTCTTCGTCTCAGTGTCCAGAGAGACCATGTCCGCATAGGAGGCGCCGTTTCAGAGGTGTGCGATCTTCAGTCACTGAAGGGCACGGTAATGATGAGGAGCCAGGAACACCGCTTGGATTG